GTTGTTTATATAACGTTGTAAACCCGGTAGGGGAGGTGTAGTATAATGGGTTCCCTGTGGTTCACAAGATTGTATATGGGTTCCCTGTGGAAACACATGCGAGGTAGAATGGCTGCAACATGGTTGTCCCACAGCCATAATAAAGAAAGTTACATCCGTCCAGTTTCACTGTTTAATGTGCCATCCTAACGTTACAGATTCCACGTTAGTACAAGGACATCTCACTATACTACCTGGGAAAAAAAGACAGAAATGGCCTCGGGATTTACACTACCGCCCCCACCGCCGCTGGATATTCATGATGCTAACGTCGCAGAGAAATGGAAGAAATTCTTATTAGCTTGGAGAAACTATTCCGTAGCAACAGAGCTGAATGGAAAGCCTCAAGCCGTTCAGGTCGCAACACTGATCCCGTTAATTGGAGAAGAAGCCCGTGATGTTTACTCGACATTCAGTGATTCAGAAAACGATGATGAGGATGAAGAGACTGAAATCGAACGAGTTCTGAGGAAGTTTGGGGAGTACTGTCAGCCACGCAAGAATGTACCATTCGAACGCTATCGTTTTAATACAAGAATACAAGAAGCAGGAGAGTCATACGACCAATACAAGACAGCGTTACGCAAACTAGCAGAAGGATGCGATTTTGACACAATAACTCCTGATGAAATACTACGCGACCACCTTATCTTTGGAATCAAAGACGCCAAAGTTTGCGAAAGGTTGCTGAGGGAAACATGGCTGACACTATCCAAGACCGACGAAATATGCCGCGCCTCAGAAAGCATGATACAACAGATGAAAGTCGTCCAAGATAGCAACAATACCGGCTTGGAAGTAAATAAATTCTACAACAAACGGGTAACGACACACAGGAAGCCAAGGAATGCCTCACGTCGGAAGTCGTCAAATGAAAGACAAAGCACAGAACAGAGCAAAGAATGCGATAACTGTGGATACCGTCACGCTGCAAATCGGGARTCCTGTTCAGCATTCGGGAAAGAATGCCGAAGATGTGGGAAAAAGAATCATTTTGCATCCGAGTGCAGACAAGAAATAAAGGTCACCGAGGAGGAGGAAGACCCTGAATCGGAAATGTATCAGACTGATGAGATACTTGCTGTCAAATTAGATGATTCGCAGCWGGTCGCGAGACAGGCTGTTTCGTACGATTCCAACCGGATACAGGAGCCCAGTGCAATGTGATACCTCTACACATATACAAGAAAGCAACAAAGGATTGCGAATCAGTACAAATGAAGCCCGTACAAACATCACTGGTGGCCTATGGAGGAGCAAAGATCGCAGTGGTCGGTGAAGTGTGCCTCCG